CCTTTCTTGAGGGCTGGGCGTGACCCAGCTGTTAGTGTGCCGGACTGTGAATCTATGGTTCGCGTCCCGTTTCTGCAAAATCGCGCTTCTCACGTTAGGGATGTAGGTTTCAGTAGCTGCCTTCCCTCCAGTTTATAAGTTAAAAATTAGGGACGGATAGCGCAGATCGCCCTTCTATAGCTTTGCACAAATGTCTAAGATAAACATTTCCTGAGTCACAAATATCTAAGATAAACACTTCCTGAGTCACAAAATAAACATTATCCTTTACTACTAAGTAATCTCTGTTTTTTATTATACTTATTTCAACTTAATTATTCTCAGGCCCAACGAACATAAGCTTATAAAATTTAATTTAAGATACAATCATTTATAGACGTTGGTAAATTCGAGAGTAGCTGGGTTAACAGATGCTTTAGGCATTATTATATATCAAATATAATAGCTATTAAAGACGTGGTCCCTCGGTGAGTCACCGGTAACTTCACTGGCTTAAAACGCTAAAATGTGAGGTTTGATTCCCCGCGAAGACCGGCACGCCAACAGCTTATTGTGTGGATTTGTGCTGAAACAAAGAAACAACATCTAAATAAGTAAATGGTCAAACTTTTCAAAAAAAAGTCATCAAGTTATATTTTTCAGGACCTGAACAATCGTGACAAACCTTTTCACAACTGTTAATATTTTATGAAACTACCTGTTTAGTTGTTAGGTATGGTTTAATTTTCCCATAAAGAGCTAAAGATAAATTTTTTTTGCAGTTCTAAAATCTTAACATTCAGTTGATTGTATCATAACGTGTTAAGATAAATTAAATGATGGTTGTACTTAAAATACAAATAAACTTATAAGTTTCACAAAACCTGAGTTAAAACAATTGTGATGTGAAGCATTTTGATCAACTTTTATCTGTTCATTATGAAAACTTTCAATATAAATGAATGTTAACTGAATTAACTTTTACATTTTGTTGAACTAACTTTCTGGTGTTTTGAGTTATTTTCTATTAAAAACAATTGTGTTTATTTACATAAATTTAGGCTAATTTATTTCCACCCAAAGATAAGTTCTGTTTTAGATCTTGGGTACATATTCAGCTTTCGTGGACATTTCGTTGACATCAGCTCAAAATATTATACAAAAACAATTATTTAACGATCACGAATATACAGCAGTCAAATATTTTCTATAATAAGTGCGTTAGATATAATTGTTGTATATTACATATTATTGCCCTTTTAAGAGAAATATAAATAATTTAGAACATAAATAATTAAGAACTGCGTTAAAGATTTCGTTTTTTCTCGTTGCAACTTTCATTGTTTAACCTTTCAATAATTCAAGTATTAATGCGTTTTCGCAATGTCTTCCAGAGTTGAATATGTATATAAATACAGAGAGAGAGAGCAGTGGATGGAAAGTAAAAACGAGAACTATATTTTATGATAATGGTTAGGGTTTTAGTAAATTAACAAAAAGCCCCTGTAGGTTATATTAAATATTTAATACGTATGGTTACAAACCGATAAGTTGTCACAAAAACTGCTTGGAGCAAGTTATGTTTGGGGCTTGACATGCGAGACTAAAAAATTCTTGCGAGAAGATTAGGCCTACGTATAGATGACCCATAACATGCGAATGGGCAAGAAAGCTTTCTATTGGCTGTACATTAAGTACATATAACTGACGCCTTTTGTCGTGTCTACACTTTTTTAGATTTTGACCCGTGTCGTCCCGGCCCACTTCTCCAGTCGTCTGTCTCAGATCCAGGTTAGTTGGATAATGACATTTTCTCTTACATTTTCTTGGGATTGTAAAAATTAAACAATTTGCTTCTCAAATGAAAATATTTATATTTTGTCTTTAGTTCTAAGAAGTAACAGTAGTTTAATATAAAGATAAGAACAGAAACAACAGCCACGTAATTAGGTTCATAAGTAGGCCTAAACTGTAATGAGTACGGAATAAAGTAACACAAGTGGTATCTCGTGTTTATTATTTACTTAATGCTGTAATCACGTGATTTAGAAATGTGTCTAATTTATAATGATTTTTAATAATATCCGATTATTTGGAATTTACTTGAGAATTTTATCTTTATTTGAAAGGATTGAACGTTGCAGACATTTTTTTTTCTGAATAAACCACAGGGTTAGAAATGCTCGTCGTGAACTTAATAGTGTGACACTAAGAAAATTTCCAAATTAATGGTTTGACACTGATAAAATTGCTCAAAATATGACACAATTAATTTTTAAAAAGTGACATTGGCTTTGCTAATCTAATTGTTAAACGACATTAGTTGATAGCCTGTTAAAACTCAGTAATGTTCCTGCTTTATATTCGTGTGTTAACTATGTTTTAGCGAAGTAAGTTTCTCATTTTTTTAAGGAGTATATACTCTACTTCAATATCTAAGACTTTAATTTGATTAAAATCCTTCTCTTGATGAACTACATTTAGTGTTTACATACAACACGAAGGCTTTTAGTTTTACCCGTTTTAGCATTAATTAGTGAATTAATACCAAAGCAAATGTACTCGACGTTCTTTTTTCGGGGGAAAACGAATACAATTAAAGGATGAAGACACCAATGAGGGTGAATTACAATGACACAAGTTATCTTGGCAAGTGGACAATATAGGACTTCACCAGCGGTTGCTAAATTAGATCAGGATTCTTGATTTATTATAAATAGTTTTTCTATTCACGTAGAAATTTTTACGAACATGCAAACAAATTAATTCACGAAATTCAATTACTTATAGAACGTAGTGTGTTTGATGTAATGCTATACAAACTGTTACACGTTTTTTCTTGTCAATCTTGCTGCCTTAGAACAGCAAGAAAAGGGTAACACGAGCTTGTATTGATTGTACAGGAGTTGATGTAGTGTGTTTGATCTAATGCTGCTATACACTGTTCCACTGAATTTTTTCTTGCCAATCTTGCTACGTTAACAATAAGTGCAAGAAAGGATAACACGAGCTTGTGTTGACTCTACAAGAAGTTCATGTAGTGTATTTGATCTAATGCTTCTCTACACTGTTCCACTGAATTTTTTCTTCACAATCTTGCTGCGTTATCACCAAGTGCAAGAAAGGGTAACATGACCTTGTGTTGTTCTATGTTGCGACACTTGTACTGAAGACAAACACGCAGAAAATTTTCATTAACAAAAACAACATTTTATTGATCCTATTTAAGTCAATTTCACACACAGAAAATATATTTTCCCAACATGAGGAAACATGACACTTTGGGGTTTCACATTGTGAACTAAACATTTATGGCTTTTTAAATGGGATCCAACTGGTTTTTAAACGTGTTTTTTCTAAACTATTTATGTGCTAAATTGCTTGTAGGTCTATAACTTTGTTGGTACAGTGTCTCTAATAACATAGGAGTCAACCATAAATATGTAAGAAAAATATCCTAACTATTGCTATTAAACCCATGAGTTACTACTGGGTTCCCTACGGATTTAACATAAAAAATTTCACTCTATTAATTTATTTCATCATCACTTGAAATGAATGTTATAACAGACTAAAACATACAAGTTCTAGATATAATGCTATATGTGGACACTCCAGATAGTAACAAAGACAAGTCAGTTCTTAGGGTTAAGGTTACTTAAATCAGAATCGAACTGTAATGGAGGCAAATATTTTTTGATATTATTTCATGATATGTAAACGAAAAGGTAAATAAAGATCGTATAATTTTAAATACCGATCATCGGAAACATCGCTTTGACATCAGCGTCAAGGTTTTCATAAGCTAAATGTCATTTATCATAACATTTGTATGTGTGTGTGTGTGTGTACTGGTAGAATAAACCTTAAACCACTAAGATATCACATTTCATGACGTCATACAGGCATCAGAAGTTGTTGGCTAATTCTCGACGCTTTTCTCAAACTATATTAACACAACAAAATAATCAGGTGAACAGGATCTGTTTTATAGTGTTAATATTTGAAATTACATGTTACAGACTTGGTAAATTCTACAGACGTTGACAGCCTTTAACATGTATCATTCCATTCTACACTGAACTACTGTACCCCTGGTTACTGCTTACTCAACTAAGCTGATAAGAAATATCAGCTTTAAATATAAGTTTAGCTTAGTTTGAAACAAATTCAGGGAATCTTTATGCAGATATCACGAGGATATACAATATGAGCAATTGTATACGGTGCTTTGACTTATCTCAGTGCTTAGCAGAAGGAAAGTCTAAAAAAGTGCGAGAGGATATGTTATGTTTGTGTGAGTGAGGCCAGCAAGCGGAAAAAGAGTCCGATTAGGAATGATGGACCCTTGAATCTTCCTGAATATCTATTGTTAGAAATGACGGCATACTAGATAGAGTATCACCCTTTGTAACAACAACTGTACAACGCACCGGGATCTTTCACGCGCTGTTCCGCCACTACTACTAGCTACACGTGTTTGTGTGCCGCCTATATCCCCCCCCCAAGCGAGCGCTGTTTCGCGGGGGTACATTTCATTGTTCACAGCAGCAGCAGCATTCTCAAAACCAATTTTGATCTATCTCTTGCATTGACAGAGGATATCTTTATTGATTCGTCCCCCCCCCCCGTCCTCAATGAAGTTTCTCATGTTTTAGGTCGTTGTTTAATTGATCCGAGGATTATCGCTTTTATTAATTCTTCCTGAAGCGAAGTTGCCTCATAGAGAAACGGCGTTGAACGGAAACAGCCCGTGGTACAAAGATCGTGCAAGTGAATTGTCGCTTCGTTGGGTTCACCGTGAGTGGCCTCATTAACTACTATAAACGCAAAGTATTTCACTATCAACCTATCAGGAACTATTTTAACTAACTTAGATTTTTTTAAATCTTTTCAGCACAATTATGTATAAAAAAATTCAAACGTTCTAAAATCATTAAACAAAGAGTTTTAATAGAGTTCTTCGTTTGTGTGCAAAATAATTATTAAATTTATCAAACTAATATTTATCAGGTTTTTTTCCCTCTTAAACTTAATGTTTGATGTGCCGAATTTATATCAGATTAGTGACTTATTTTCGTTATTCGCTCTTCTGTTTTTTATTATTGTTTCGAGTTTTTTATCTTAGCATCTAGAAGTCTTCCAGGTTTTTAAGATTTGAAACAAAAACGTTCACACGTTTATGATTTATTTTCAACCTTAAAAGTTCGATATACGACGCATAGGTTAAGTGACTAGGTCAACTAGATCAAAGACCCAAGGCTCAGGCAATGTTCATCGGCATATTGCAGTTTGAATTTGGACCTTCTGATCAGCAGCCCGGCATTCCTACTACTAGGTCGTTCCTGGTCCTATACAGCTTTTATTTGTGATAATGCAAGATTCAAAATCACAGTGCAGTCCCCTAAGTATCACTCAGTTATTACTCTTGATGTTTCTAACAAGAAGCTGAATTTTTAGTATCATCTAATACAAATCAGAACATACTTTATATTTTTACATGATGGAGCAGGGTGTTAAGTATTAAGCTTTATTAATACATTTTTACACAAGATATAATTTGTTAAACATTAAGCTTTATTAATACATTTTTACACAAGATATAATTTGTTAAGTATTGAGCTTTATTAATACATTTTTACACAATATATAATTTGTTAAGTATTGAGCTTTATTAATACATTTTTACACAATATATAGTTTGTTAAGTATTAAGCTATATTTATAAATTTTTACACAAGATATAATTTGTTAAGTATTGAGCTTTATTAACAGATTTTTACACAAGATATAATTTGTTAAGTATTGAGCTTTATTAATACATTTTTACACAAGATATAATTTGTTAAGTATTAAGCTATATTTATACATTTTTGCACCAGATATAATGTGTTAAGCATTGAGCTTTATTAATACATTTTACGCAAGATATAATTTGTTAAGTATTAAGCTATATTTATACATTTTTGCACAAGGTATAATGTGTTAAGCATTGAGCTTTATTAATACATTTTTGCGTAAGATATAATGTGTTAAGCATTAAGCTTTATTAATAGATTTTTACATAAGATATAATTTGTTAAGTATTTAGCTATATTTATACATTTTTGCATAAGATATAATTTGTAAAATAACACATTTGCCACAAACTAAAAAACATCGTTAATTTGTAATTTACTTTCCAAAGAAAAGTTTTTGATCAGTGCGGAATTAACCTTTACTTTAGGGCTTATCATTAATTATCTTAAATACCACTTATTATACATTTAACGTGAGAATTTGCTGTAACAATTTATGCCTTGGTTATGTTCATGTACTTAATGTGGTAACTGATGCTGTCGCCTAGTCTCTGGGCAACTCCAAGTTTCCATGTATTTTATGAATCATTATCTAGAGAAAGAATTTCCCTCTCTGTTACTGCTTGGAAGATTAAAATTGAGTCCAGAGAGACTCATACATCGGTTAAATCTAGTGTATATTTTGAGTGCATGTGTGTGTATTATTTGCTCTCTTTGATTTTATAAAGAATATAGACAGAATATATTATTCTGACCCATCGTATGCGTAATGTTTACCAAAAAGTTAATATTACCATTACCTTTTGTAACAAATAATATATATATATATATAGTCCATGCTATTAATAGGAATTCAAACGTTATATACAAACAACTGAATCACTACGTAAAACACACAAACCTTCATCTACTATTTTGTTTCAACGTGCATCTTCTGTACACACTCAATGACTGACAAATATTCACTGTTTAAACTGTTTTCTGTTAATGATA